GAATTTCTCTGATGTTAAAAGAAAAAAGCTTGCTTTCCCATCCTCAAAACAGCAATATGGTTACTACTAGAGTAGAATTATTTTTGGAGTATCTATCTATTCATTCATGGCCTCGTCTCTGAGACATGCGCCTACTCCGACAAGCAGTCTGCTGCTGCTGCCCCAAGAGTGTGTATGTTTCTCCTTGGCAAGGCTGACTGCTTAGGGGTAGACACCTGATCACTGCACTGGCATAACGGTATTCTTAACTGGTGAATCCAACAGTAATGTAGCGCCCCAGACCTGGAAGGCTGTGTGGACTCGAGGAGAGATGATTAATTCGGGGCCATGAAAGCTGATAAAAATGTTGAGAAGCAGGAGAATGGTGCAATAAGCACAAAGACTCACAGTTTGAGTTCCTTAAAATCATTGTACTTCCTACCTTGACATCTATGGCATTCCCTGCATCCTTTCCCCATCCAAATACTAAGCAAACCTGACCCTGCTTAGCTTCCGAAATTGGGCGCGTGAGGATTTCTGTTTCTTGCATCCAAAGGATCCCTAAGCAGGATAGATAGAAACAGAATATCCAGTTTTCACTAAAAGGACCTTATTTACCCTCCTCAATGCATTGAATGGCTAGATACTTTTTTTAAAATAAAGAAAACAGAAAAAAAGGCCTGCCAAAATGGACTGATATTATGCTTCTGATAGTAATGCTTTCAGCTAAGACTACATTAGGCTGTTTCTATAAAACCATAAGGTCTAGTAGAGCATGGAAGTGTGTTCATTTACACTAAACTCTGGGATCTCTTATCTCTCTCCCAACTTAAGGCTGGCTCCTCTTTATCTCCCCTAAAACTGACTGAATTTAATCTATTTTTCCCCCTTAGGCAAGCAAACAATCATTGAAGTGCCAACACCATTAGCCTTGTAAGGCATAGAATTAGCTGCAAAGGTTGTTGAAAGATTGGAAACAAGTTCCAAAGGTTCAGGAGACGGTGGCAGGTTCCAAAACAGTGGGAAGGAAACCTCAAGAAGGAGAAATAAGTACATAGCAGCTCGGTAAACAGATCAAGGAAGGCACTAGACTGAGAAGGGGATTGTGAGCCGAAACTTTGCTTAAATTGCCCTATTAAACAATTCTGAGCACAAGAATCCTCAATCTCTAGTTCCACTGGCCTCCCAAAGAGATTTCACTGAAATACATACGTGTACAGAGGAATCTCCCAAATGTTAATCAAAGCTATATAAAAACAACAGGGGATAATGAGAGAGCCTTAAGACTTCACCAGGTCAGCTCCACAAAGAAACAACTGTCTATGTAAAACAGCTATGAATAAAAATCACACAATCTTATTGGGAGAGGTTATTTTAGGGCCAAAGGCAAGTACTAGACAGCTCAAGTATAATCCCCCCATCAGTAAACCACCAGGTGGAGGCAGGGAAGAACATAAAGCTGACATTTTGGCACAGGGTAAACCTTTACAAATGTCCATTCAGTGAACAAACTTTTACAGTCATTTTTATGGTCATTCAAGAGTCAGAAAGGCCAATGGCAAAGACTTCCAGCTGGGGAAAAAGGTCTATAGCTTTCTAATTTTCATGACATGAGGTAGGAGAATATTCTGCATCCATACCATAGCTAATCACCTATAAGTCGAGATCTTATTAATGGTGCTATAGGTAGAATATATATTGTCCCTAGTATGTAAGCAAGTTACAATAAAAACAACTTATACTTCTTAATTTTGTGATTTGGACCATAAAACACATTTTACTCTTCTCCAGCGGCAATAAACCATCTTAAAAAACCAATTTAACCCTCCCCCCCCCAAAAAAAAAGCCAGCTAAATGATCAGAATAGTATTAACTCAAACTAGGATTCTGGGCTCTGGTATGAGTCTGTATGATAAAAGGAGAAAGAGACTGGAATGGCTGCCTATGTAGAGTGAGGACTAGAGAGCGAAGCGCTGGGAGAAGGGCACCCACAGGGATGGATGGATTTACAGTAGTCCCAGCAGAGACATGTCACAGAGGTAAACTGCTCAGCCGTCAGTTAACTCTAGGGAGGTCTATCACAGAGCCCACAGGTTTGGTCCACTTGCAGAGTCTTATTTTCACAGAAGTGTGGGAGGGACAGGTAGAGAAAGATGAGTGTTGGTGGCTGATGACATAATGCAGTAAAGCAGTGATCCAGCAATAAGGCAGACAGTATAAAGCAATCGAGTGAAGGCTCAGGGAAATCAGAAAATGGAGCCAAAAAAAATCATCTAATGTGCTCATGAAGAACACATTAAATGAAAGTGTCAAAGTAGTATTTTTAAATTTATTGACTTGATAGGGAAGAACCCTTTCTAATCAGGAGAGAAAGAAGATGAATTTAAAAAAAAATAAAATAAAAACAGCTCTGTTTATGAAAGGAGAATTTTGGTTAAGGTCCTAGCAGAACCAAATAATTCTAAATTGCCATAGTGAAAAAGGAAAAAAAACCTCCCCATAGAAATGGTGAACGGAAAAGGGCTTTTGGTGCCTTATAAGAAATTCAAGTTCTGGAAATAGCCATCGGACAAGAGCTATGTGAAAACTTTATGATTTACATAGAAATCTTATGTATGGACTCAGGCAGGTCCTCAGAGCAACCAGCCAAAGAGAAAACTCTCCTAAAATGGTTCAAACTTTAAATTCTTAGAGAAGCACATCTGATAAATGAAGATCTGCTCATTTCAAGTCATGCTCACACAGGTGTCTGGCACTTACAGAACCTCCTCAAGACAGGAAAGGATTAAATAACTTTTAGCCTTGATAAGAAGAACTCTTCTCCAGAGAAGACAATTTTAGATGTGCTGACTGAAAAGGTAAAACCAGAAACAGCTATGCAGCCATGTTTTGATCTCTTCACAGACCTCCAGACTCTGAGCAAGACTATTGTGCAATGATCAAAAATCCTAATATGGACAGGCACAGATACTATGGAAATGTTGTCTATTCTTTTTCTAAGTCTTCAACATCTAAATAAAAGGTAAAGCCAACAGTACCTTACATGAAGCACTAAGCTGGTTCTTAGAAGGTAGTTTACTGCTTCTGGCCACTCTCCCCTGCCTGTCTCTCCTGATCTCAGACCCCTGCATCACCGGTAGGCTGTGCTTTGGTGCTACATGGAGACATGAAGTAACCACAGCAAATCAACAAACACAAGGATCGGTGCCATCTGCTGTGGCAAGAGGATAAAACCAACAGACCAAGAGTAGCTGAGAGCCAGGGAAGAGTTAGAAGAAACCTTCTGTTCCAATAGCAACAACACTGGAAAGACAAGAGACCAAAGAAAGGTCATTTCCACTTGGACCTAGAAACACAAGCATGCTTCGACTGTGGGGAGGTGGGAGACTGATCAAAGAGAGTAGCTGTAGTTCTGACAAGGGGGGAAGATTACACACGCCTGGGGAAGCGAGCAAAACTTGGACACAAGTCTCCAGAAATCATCTGCCAGTGAACAAAGACACCAACAACTTATTAAACTGGACTCTGAATTACAGAAACCCCCAGTCTTCTCACAAACCATCACGGACTATATAGTTAGATATGACAATAAATGATGGCTAATCACTGTGGGAAACATAGTAATTAAAGAGAATACACAAGACCTAAGATGACGAGGAAAAGGAGATGTTACATTCCTGAAGCCATAGGCACAAGAGAAAACCAAGTCACTGTGTGGCACCAATGCAAGAAAGATACAAATTATCAGCAAGATAATGCATTATCATGAGTGGTATCCCCATTCCTCACAGGGAAAATAAAGAGTCATTTCTGAAAATGTAACCTGGTTCATGGTCAAATGGAGATACCCAGAGAAGCAGAAAATAATTCAGGAAAGGAAGGACATCTGGACAGACACATCCTTATAGTCTATTTTGTGCATTTCATGTATAAGGTAAATAGCAGATGACTGAAGCTTCCGAAGAGCTTCCATGGGATCTGGACCAGAAAGCCATCGTGGAAGCAAGTTCGCTTCCCTTCCTGTTGAGTAGAAAACCTCATGACCTACATTACAGGACATATCTGGACCAAGGCAACTGACTCCCACAGACTGTTTTCTGGGGAGAGCATGGAATGTGTTTGAAGGCCTCTATCACAATCAGTCATTATGCAATTAGAATAATTAAAATATCTTATTTTTAAAATTCAGTGTTCCTATAAAGAGAGCTTTGGAGTGGCCAGTGTTAGAAGGCCAATACTCAAGCAACATTTCCCTCCCCCATCTACCCACCAAACTGCCCACCACTGCCACCACCACCACCACACACACACAATAAAGAACATCCTACAGGCTGCTTGGCTGTAGTAAGCCCGTCACAGCAAGCCCACTGCCAATGAGAGAACTTGACGGAGAGGAGGAGGAAGCAGGAGGTAGGGACAAGGACAGTCTTCCATAAACACAAGACTTCAGCTATGCACATGATAATCCAAGTCAAGGGGAGTGTTGAAGATGTAACACACACACGGGGGCTGGTACTACTAATACCACAGTAGATGGAAGTTGTTTAAAGATCCCTTCCTAAACCTCTTGTGCTAATTCCCTGCCTAGGATTAACACAAACAGCAGGTTACTTTTATAATCTCAGAACACACAGAACACAGACAGACACACAGCTACATTCTTACCCCAGGAAAGTCCTCATTTAAGGATATACAACACAAGACTTGTCCTGCTGCTTTTTGGCCTGTTTCTCAAGTAGTTTGAACTATACTGTCATGTAATAAAAAAGCCACATCCATTCTAAATGGAGACTGAGGACAGCTTCCAATGCACTCTTGAAACAAATAAAATAACAAAATATACTAGCTGCTCCATTTTCATTCCACTGCCTTGAAATCTTGGAACCACAGATGTGATGTCCCACAGACAGGGCGATGCTTCAAGGCGAAGCCGCCAAGGGACCCTCCGCCCCCTCAGGTGCGACCTGAGCAAGAGCACCCAGCTCACTGGTCCTCTGCAGCTGAAGCAAGGAGGTAAAATGCTAGGTGGCTACATGGGCAGGAGAAGAAATTGAAACAAACTCCCGGAGGATGTTTTTGGCCATTTCAATGTTGTTGTGGGCAATGACCAGTGCTTTCTGAATGTCCTGGTAGGAGTATCCCTGACTCATGAGGCTCTCGATCTCACTGGAGAGCTGCGGTGAGGTGGTGGAGGTGGTGGTGGCGGCGGCAGCAGCACCACCACTCTGACGACAGCTGCCTGATTTTCGCTCAGAGTTGATTCTCCGAGGGAATGGTTTGGGAGGCCGCTCAGGAACTTGAGAACCCTCAGTGAGGTCTAGAAAAACATAGGAAAGAAAACATATACAAATCTTGGGAGAGGTATCATTTAATGGCAGTTTATAATGACAATAGGCCAGCATAAAAATGCAGGGAGCTCTGGTGATTTGGTAGTAAGGAGCTGCATGGCCAACCCAAAGTCACACGGCTCAAATTCACCAGCTGCTCTGCAAGAGAAAGACGTGCAATCAACTGCCCTCTGGAAACTCCCCTGAGAGTCAGCTGTGAGTGGTTTTCTACTCCATGGTACAGAACAACAATAATCAAGATAGTACTAATACAGTAATAATAGCAATATAATAGTACTGCTATAATAACAACAATAGGCTAATGGACTAGTGAATTCTCCTGTGCGATTCACTGCCTCTGAAAACCTGCTGGAGGGTGAGCTATGGACCAGTTCTGACTTGACAGTATTCAATGACAACAATATAAAAATAGTCTGGTGATGTAGGGCATAATGTGTCAGATGGCTAACCAAAAGCTTGGAGATTCAAATCCACCTATTGCTCCAATGTAGAAGGAGAGGCAGTCTCCTCTCACAAAGATTTACAGCCTTGGAAAGCCAATGGAGGGTCGCAGAGTCAGAACTATCTAGATTACAATGGGGCTTGTGGGTCACCCGGGCATATGTGTGCTTTAGAAAGACTAGATTTTACAGAGTCAAGGGCTTGAGTAGTAAGCTTATCTTTTTCATAGCAGGAACAATCTCCTAAATATAGGATGCACCTGTTCCACCAACAAGAACCAGTGCAACCAGAGGCATAACAACATCTGTATTTGTATCATGCTTTAGATTTAGCAACAAGTTTTCATATATATTACTGCCTTGATTTAAAAAAAAATAATTCTCTGAGGTGCCAGAGAAGACAATAAATGTTCCTTTTAGTATCTAGATACTTTAGAAGATACTAAGGAAAACAGAAGCAAGCTCAAGTTGCAGTGAAGAAGAATTTAGCAGGGTTGGGTGGGTGCAGATCACCGGCTATTTAGGCAACTGGACGCTACATATCCTTGTCACCAGCTGTCCCAGAAGCTCTCAAATTTCTGAAGTGACAGCAACTCCGTACACTGTCCTACCAAGCAGCCACAGGTGCAAGAGCAGCAATCCTTGTGTGCTGGCTCCAGGGCTATTAGTGTACTGTCCAGAGCAATACAATTTCTTTCCAACGGGCAGCAGCCAGAAGTCAGGAACACGTGCTCTAAATGTCTTATCATGTACTGAGAAGAGCCAGAAATCCTACCTACCTTCATCACAGGAAGAGCTATGGTTTAAGAAGAACCACGTACCTTAGTCAGGCAAAATTCTAAAACCTTCAGTTTAATTTTCCAATTTGGGACCTACAGCCAGCTTTCTTCTATACAGAGTATTTTGCCTGCTCCATCTACCTACCGTATTATTGCCACCAAGGGAGTCTCTCTATTTCAGCATAAATTAGGAGCCAGACAGTAATTCAGTATAACCCAACAGAACGCAAAGACATGGTAACTCACTTGTATGATCACCATCCAAAGAGAGCCAGCCAAAGGCAGAGCTGGCATTAGAGATATCGGACAGAGTTCGGCGGGCCAGCACTGCTGGCACAGGTGGCTTAGGGACATCATACCCATCATCTTCATTTTCTGATTCTTCAGGGCCAGTGTTGGCATGAGCTGTAGCCAAATTCCCTTCACCTAAGGAAAAGTTTGTGAAGTTATTCCCAACTTCATCTTCTAACATATTTCAATACAGAAACATCTGTTTGTTCATGCATGTAGAGAGTCACTTATTCTCATACAACAAATAGTTTCCAAATATTTACTGTGGGCCAAGACCCACGTAAAGCCCTGTGGGTGGATATAAAAGACATGGGGGAAATAAAATGTGTACCAGTCCTGAGCTCTTTTTCTTGACTATGTCAAAGGCTACCCTTGCCAAGGTTAACAGTCATTGATGTCAAAGATCAAGTGTCGCTTAACAGCATTCATTCAACATTTCACCTCAGAAGATCAGCCAAAGAGCCTGATGTGAACTTTCAACTTGATTTGCTAGCTAACATGGGAACTGAGTATTCACCACCCACACACAAAAGAATTTCATCAATGTTAAAAAGCAATGGGACTAAAAAGGAGCTGTAGTATTACAGGTCCAAGCCATAAAACACAAATATCTACAGGTCCTGGAAGGAAATCAAAGTACAAAAGGGGCTAGCTATTAGAACAGGAAGTAAGAGTGGAAAAGAGCTTTAACAAATGGTTAAAAAGTATTTCCTATTGGAAAAAAGTTATTTTTGTTATTCAGAAATTTCAGGTTCACACCTACTTCACTTCAACTTTTTTTTCCCTGGTGCCAATGACCTCTTTGTGTGTGTGTGTGTGTGTGTGTGTGTGTGTGTGTGTGTATTTTATTGATTGATGCACATTTTCCTCTACCCTCCCCCAGTTTACTCCACAATGCACTCTTTGCTTCAGATTGTTGTCATACATATACCTAATCACATATTCTCTATTGCAGTATTCATTCTCTATCTACTCTTTCCCCATTCTCTTCCCAAACGCCTATGAATGCCCTCCCTATTTTATAACAGTAGTGTTATACAGCCTATGATCTTTTGTAACTGAGACATTTCACTCAACATAATGCCCTCCGGGCTCCCCCATGTTGTAAAAGGTTTTATGAGTTTACTGTTTTTCAATGCTGCATAGTATTCCATCGTGTAAATGTACCATAGTTTTTCTATCCATTTGTTGATGGGCACTGTGTTGCTTCTATCTCTTTGCTCTTGCAAATAACGCAGCAATAAACATGGGTACATCTAACTGTTTAGGTGGCAGCTCTGGTTTCTTTAGGGTATATTTACAGTAGTGGAAATACAAGGTCAAATAGTATTTCTATTTCCAAGTTTCTTTTTTTTTAATATATATATATATTTTTTTTTAAATTTTATTATTTTGTGCGTGTGTACTGTCAAATTGGATCAGACTGGTACAGGAGGAGATTGTCCCTCCTTTTCCAGCAGAACATCTGGTGGATTTGAACTGCATGCCTCTGGGATTGCAGTGCAGCTTCTTGCCACTAGGCCACCAGAGCTCCCTTTATTTCCAACTTTCTAAGAAAGGGCCAGACCGCCTTCCATCGTAGCTAGATCATTTTACATTCTCATCAGCAGTAAGAGTTCCAGTCTCTCCACAATCTTGCCAGCATTTGTTGTTTGCTGTCCAATGAACTTTACTATTGTTGCTGGCACACCAACTATTTTTAAAGCAGAAACTCTGCTGGTCAGGGAGTTGCACTAGTAACCCTAAGATGGGGTGTCTCTGGCAGTTTAAATCCATCAGCTGCTTCAAGGAACAAAGATAGGAAATCTCTTCCCACACAATTTATAGCCTTTGGAAACCTGCCACAGGGTCAACTACAAGTCTGTTCCAGCTTGAAGACAATGAGTGAGTGATATTCAAAGTAGCAGAATGATTACTCACCAAAGGCACTGCTTTCTGTGACAGATGTTGTCTGGGACTGAATATTATACATGGCTTCATATGTACAGCTGTCAATCTGAGGGTCACCTTCACTCACACTGGATCAGAAAGAAAGGGGCATAAGGATCTTCAGAAACAGAACACTATTATCTGCAAACTTCCAAAAAAACTAACCTATGCATGAGTGCTCCAGACCTGATTCTAATTCAACATCTTGTTTTGCCAGTGTCACTAATAAAGATCCCAAGATTCACTCTTATGAGGTACAACAGATGTGTGCTTTTGAGGTTACTATGATGTTTACCAAAAAACAGGCAGAATGATTTACACTTACATGAGACTAAATAAAACATTAAGGCCTGTAATACATGACATTTTTATCTGTATAACATCAACTGTAACTAATGTTATACAGTATGCATCTTACTAATTGAAAAACAAAAAAATAGGGCTAGATAAAACTTTTTGAAGGGACATAATAAACAACATAAAGAGAAACAAAATTGGTTCTGAGAGTGTTAATCTGTAGTGTGCATAGAATGGTATCAATTCAATTAATCACATAAAGGCAACAATATTAAAATAATACTGCTAGGAACCTACCGCAAACTCTGGGATGTCTCCAGCGGCCTTTTCGGCTCTGGCTTTTGAAATCCCAGAGGCCTAGAGGAGGGCGTCATATACTCTGCGTCCTCTTCACTTTCACACTGCTCTCCAGGAGGCAGTTTTGGCACAGGAAGAGGTCTGTGGATGAAGGGTAAGAAAATAGAAAAAGAAAACAAGTTTTTTAAAAATAAATAAGCTGGAAAACTTTCAAGTATGCAATGTTGTTGTTGCTGTTATGTACCATCGAGTTGCTTGTGACTCATAGAGACCCTATGTACAACAGCCCTAAACTCTGCTCTGTCCTGTGCCAATCACACTGTCTCTGACACTCCCATCCCGATTATCCCAGTCACTGAATCAATCCACCTCATAGAGGGCCTTCCCCTCCTGCGCTGTCCCTACACCCTCCCAAACATGATGTCCTTCTCCAAGGACCAGTCTCTCCTTACAGGGAGCCTCAGAATCCTTGCCTCCAAGAAGCCATCCAGTTTAACCCTTTGCAGGATGAATCTGTTTGTTTTACTAGCAGTCCATGGTATTCTCAATACTCTTCTCCAGCACCACAGCTCAAAGACATCAATTCTCCTTCTATCCTCCCTGGTCATTGTCCAATTCTCTGATGCATAACAAGTGATTGCAAAGACCATGTTCTGTCCAGATGCACCTTAGTCTCCAGAGAGATACCATTGCTCTTCAGTATTTTGGAGAGACTTTCCCATTGCAATACATCTTTTAATTTCCTGGCTACTGGTGCCAGTAGTGTTGACTGTGGAGCCAAGCAAACTAAAGCTGTGAACAATCTCAATCTTGTCTCCATTCATCCTGATGCTGCCAATTGGTCCAGTGGTGAGAATCTTTATCTTCTTGACATTGAGCCTCAATCCATATTGTAGGCTGCAGTCCTTGACCCTCTGCAGCAGGTGCTCCAGGTCCTCCTCAGTTTCAGCAAACAGGGTTGTATCATCTGCATAATGCAGACTGTTGATAGACCATCCACCAATCTTGACTCCACATTTCTCCTCATAGAGCCCAGCCTCCCAGATAATCTGTTCTGCATACAGGTTGAAAAGGTATGGAGATAGGACGCATCCCTGGCATACGCCCTTCCCAATTCTGAACCATGCAGTGTTCCCCTAAAAATGGACCACAACTCAAATGTGGTATCTGACATAGCAAATTAAAGGCACCCTACCTACTGCTTTTAACTTGATTGTGCCTCAGAGGGACCCTCTATCAAGTCCCTCAGGCTATAAATCCTTAGGGGAGAAGACTGTCCATTTTTCTTCTGAGGAGCAACTGGTGGACTCAAACTGCCAACTCATTCGTCAGCAACCCAATACATTATGCGCTATGCCACCAGGGCTCCTAACATGTCACCCAGGCAACTGTTATTTCTACTGAAGGAGGCAATTCGTGAAAGGCACATTAACTCGAAACCTTCATTTTTCAGGTGATCAGAGGGGAATTCACTGTACTTATGATGTATTACCCTGTCAAAGATATTTTATATTAAGATTATAAATCTTAATCCCAAATAAGTTCTATTACAGAGTGCCAGTCTTAGAACTAGTATCTCATTTTTTTACTTTTATAGTAAAAAATGTCAGGTGGCTTTCTAACAATATGTTAGCAAAGTGTATCAATCCTAGAATCTATTTATTATTTAAAAATTTAAAAACAATCCACTGCCATCGAGTCAATCCCAATTCCCTGTGACTCTGTAGGGCAGAGGAGAACTGCCCACACAGTTTTTGAGGCTGTGAACCTTTACAGAAGCAGACTGTCTCATCTTCCCATTGCAGAGTGGCTGGTGGGTTCAAACCACCAAACTTCTGAGTTGCAGGCTGAATGGTTTTACCCACCAGCATTCCTAAAAATTTTTTTTTCAGTTTATCAAAAGCTTTCTCATAAAAAATGGTATAGAAAGGAAGTGACTATATTCTGAAACATCTAACCAGTACTTTGGGCTTCTTGCTACTGTATGTCTACACATTCTCCCAGAAGCTTAGGAACCAAAACCTGTCATACTGCCATCCCACACCCTGAAATGAAAGATCCCCCCCCCAAAAAAAAATCCAATCAGCTGAAAGGGAAAAAAAACCCAAAAAAAAACAACCCCACCACAGAGAGAAACAAAATTGTTTCTGGGAGTGTATTTATTATCCTGAAAAGGAGTAACATTCATAAACATCTAACAATATGAAGATCTGTTAAAGCGACATTATATGACTTATAAAGTGAGAATCTGTGAAGAACTTCTTAAACGACAGGTAAAAATACTCATGGCATAATTGTTGTTGTTGCTGTTCAGTCACCTGCAACTCATAGAGACCCTAAGTACAACTGCCCTAAATTCTGCTCTATCCTGTGTCTATCTCACTGTCTCAGACACACTTACTGCCATTACCCCACCAACCTCCTGTCCCTCCAACCTCCCAAGCATTACATCCTTCTCCAAGGACTGGTCCCTCTTTGCAACATGTCCAAAGTATGTCAAACAAAGCTTCAGAATCTTTGCCTCCAAGGAGCAGCCTGGTTTAACCCTCTCCAGGATGAATCTGTTTTCTTAGCAGTCTATGGTATATTCAATACTCTTCTCCAACACCACAGCTCAAAGACATCAATTCTTCTCCTATCCTCCCTAGTCACTGCCCAACTCTCTGATACACAGCAAGTGATTGCAAAAACCATGGCTTGTATCAGGAGCACCTTAGCCTCCAGAGTGACACCACTGCTTTCTAGTACTATGGAGAGGTCCCTAACAGCAGACTTTCCCATCGTAGTATGTCTTTTAATTTCCTGGCTGTTGGTGCCATATCATTTCTAGATATGTCTTGAAATACAATATTGTGAGTGACAGGATAATATCCATACGCATACAAGGAAGTCTGGTGAATACCACTATCATTCAGATATATGCACTAACAACCAGAGCCAAAAAAGAGGTATTAGAAAAATTTCTACCAACTTTTACAGTCAGAGATCATGTGAATATGTAATCCAAGATGAATTACTAATAATGGATGACCGGAATGCAAAAGTTGGGAACAGAGAAGGATCAGTAGTTGGAAAACATGGACTCAGTGACAGAAATGAAGTTGGAGACAGAATAACTGAATTTTGCACAATCAACAACTTATTCACTGCAAATACATTTTATAAGTAACATAAATGCAGGTTATACACATGGATTTCACCTGATGGTATGCATAGGAATCATGGCATAATGAAAAAAAAAAGGGGGGGAGGACTCAGAATCCTAATGACTCAATTTCATGACAAACATTTTTATCTATAAACCTACACATCTAACACATGTTTATGGCTATGGCAGGGTACTCTGATGGCTAGTGATAAAGAGTTGTGTTGCATTAATCCACAGGGGCAAATGGTTTGGATCTACCAGCTGCTCCAAGGGAGAAATAGGGACCATTTCCTCCCACACAACTTACACAGTCTCTGAAAACCCACTGGAGGGTTAGCTAAGAGTCAGCTCCAACTCAATGGCACATAACAAGAACACAGCTATGGTCAAGTAGCAAGTATTACCTAATTCTACCTCAAACAGCTATTAAAGCTTCACAGAACAGTTCCTGAAGGGCAATCATGCCGCCAGGATTTGAGAGACCAAGATTTCAGAAAGAAATTGCACCAAAATAAACCTTCAATTAAACTGAGCAACCGCAAACCTCCCACATCTGTAGAATCAATTTCGACTAGACTCTTAGTGACCCCTCCACTGGGTTTCCAAAGCTGTAAATCTTTATGGTCTCTCCCCTACTGTTCTCACATTGCAGTTTCTGAATCTGGGGTCTGAGACAGTCTCAGTAGGCTAAGGACAGACTAGCATTTGGCAGTATCATGGCTGTCAAGATGTGAGGAGCCAAAAATCCTGCCAGGAACATCAGAGGGGTGAGCCTGACATTCTCCCTGCAATTCCCCGAGGAACTGCTAATTCCTGAGCTGTACAAAAACTGGACTAGATTCTGAGAAACCAAGCAAAAAGCAGCAACCTGAGAGCTGAGTAGTATTCTGGCCATCTTGCCAAGTTGGAAAGACAGAATTAGAGTTATTATGAGTTATTATATAGGGGCTTTAAAAGAACTTTTACTGTATGTTCAATAAAGAGGATGGAAAATATTATTAGAGGACTGGAATCATATACCTTAAAAAAAAATCAAACCCAAAATTCATGGGAATTCTAGAACCTAAAAACTCAACATCTACATGAGGACTAGGCATCAGTTTTGACATCTAGGGATATCTCGGTCAAATGGCATAGAACACAATCCATACAGACAATTTTTTACATTCTACTGTAGTGAGTAGCAACCAGGGTTTTGTTTTGTTTTGTTTGTTTGTTTTTTAATTTTTGTGTGAGTGTACCGTCAAATCAGATGTGACTGTTACAGGAGGAGACTATTTCTCCTTTTCCCGGCAGAGCATCTGGTGGATTCGAACCGTGTGCCTCTGGGATTGTAGTTGCAGCTCCTTGCCACTAGGCCACCAGAGCTTCCCGCAACCAGGGTTTTTAACGTTTGGGAGCTGCCATCCAGGATACAACCAGGGTCTCACCTGGAGCAGTAAAGAGTGAAGAAAATCAGACCCAAGGAAATATGTGATCCAAGAGCTAACAGCTCAAATCATAGCATCTGCGAACCTCAGGCAAGAACTAGGTGGTGTCTGGCTACCACTACTGTTTAGACCAAGGACCAACAGAAGGTTAGGGTCAGAGTGGGACGAAAAAAGTACAAAACTCAAAATCATATAAAACAGACCCGCCTGACTAGTCCAACAGAGACTCGAGAAATCCCTTCAGGTCTGGAACTGAACCTATCCCTTAGAGATCACCTGTCAGCCAAATGATAAACGGGTTTACAAAGTGAACAGTAATACATATGATAAATGTGCTCCTCAGAACAATAACCCACATAAGCCCACAGGGGCAGTGAAACACATGATACACTGCCAGGGAGTGGGAGATGACTCATAGCTGTCCCTCCACTGAGTTTTTGGAGGCAGTGAACTGCATGAAAGAATGTCCTTCTTTCTCCTGCAGTCACTGGTGGTTTCAGTTCCTTATAGACGAGGCTACCAGTGCTCTCTATACCAGCAATATTTACCCAAAAGCACGGTTT